TCCCCACTTTTTAAAATCTTGATCCCCAGTATTTTATAGTTCATCTCCAATATTTTTGATCTCATCCAAAATATGTTCTAGCTCATCTCCAGTATTTTCTAGTTCCATATGTTATAAGCTCAGTATTCTCTAGCTCATTCACAATATTTTCAAGCTCATCCCCAGTACTTTATAATTCTACCCTAATGTTTTCTAGCTCTTCCAAAATATTTTCTTGCTCACCCCTAATATGTTTAGCTCATCTCTACTAATATTTTTAGCTCATTCCCAGTATTTTCTACTTTATCCCTAATATTTCCTAACTCATCCCAAGTATTTTCTAGTTCATCCCCAATAATTTTTAGCGCATCCTTAATATTTCAAAGACTTTTGTATCTCATCCACATAATTTATCACATTCCCAATATTTTTAGATCTTCGATATTGTTTATTTAGTTCATCCCTAAAAACATTTTTTAGCACCCCCCCCCCCCCCCCCCAATATTCTTAAGCCCATGATCCCCAGTATTTTCTAGCTCATCCCCAATATTTCCTAGAATTTTATATTTCATCCCCACATTTTTTTAAATTGTCTCATTCACAATAATCCTAGATCTAGCTCATTTCCAGTATTTTCTAGCTCCTCCCTACTATTTTCTAGCTCCTCCCTAATATCATCTAACACATCTGCCGTATTTTCTGCCTCATCCCCGGTATATTCTAGCTAATCCCTAATCCCTAATATTTTTTTTAGCTCACCCCAAATATTCCCCACTATTTTTTTAGCTAATTCCTAATATTTTCTAACTCATTACTGATACTTTTTTTTTTTTTAGCTCATCCCTATTTATTTCTAGCTAATCCCTAATTACTTCTACTTCTAGCTTACCCCCAGTGTTTTCTAGCTCACCCTCAGTATTTCCCTGTATTTTCTAGCTCATCCCCAAGTCTTTGTTGATCCATCCCCACTATTTTCTACTTCCAGCCCCAGTGTTCCCCAATATTTTCAAGTTCATCCCAAATATTCCCCAGTATTTTCTAGCTCATCCCCAAAATTTTAAAGCTCATTTTCAGTATTTTCTGGCTCTACCTTAATATTTTCTAGCTGTTCCAAAATATTTTCTAGCTTATTGCGATTATTTTCTAGCTCATCCCCAGTATTTCTTAACTCTACCCTAATAAATTTTTTTTAGCTCATCCCCAGTATTTTCTACACGAGAGGCGAACACCGTCCCCTCTAGACCTGTGTGGTGTATGGCCGCGCTTGAATCTTTAAAAAAAAGTTCTAGTAGAGGTTTTACGGCGCTCGCAATTGCATAAGGTCATATGAGCGCCAGACCATTAGAAGTGTTACAAGAGAGTAACAAACATAAAAAAGAAGAAGGGGAGTTAAGGACGATATATGTTGGATAGGAAAGAAGGAGCGAACTACACTAGATCACCCGTCAACCACTCACCTCTACCTTGAATCTTTGCGAAGACCGCCATTTTGCCAAAGACAGACCAACATCTCAGTTTGGTCTGTGGGGCTAGTCCATTTGTGTCTCCCCCTGTCAATATCAGCCGTAAGACGCAGTGTTCTATTATCAGCTACGAGGCTCGAAAGGCAAAAAAGTGACTTTCCACGATTTTTTTTTGTTTTTGGAATCAATTGTAAATTGAATGTCTTCTGCTTTATTTAAGATAAAAATATACGACTATAAATTTCAAGTCTGTCTCAATTCTAAGACCCCCTTTGCTATGGAAACATGTTGTTCAACTTCGGAGGCCATTTTCTCCTTGTCATGTTTCCTCACCTTGCACAATAACAATTCTGTATTTTCGTCAATGATGGTCACGTTTACTTCATTCTTGTTTTAAATTGCAGGGAAGAGGTGATTAATTTTTGAAAATAATGTTAACTCAGTTTTGAAATTTCCTTCATATGACTGATATTGAGAGGCAGGGACACACTTGATGTGGCGTTTTACCTACCGTCAGCCGGGGCTACTTAGGCCACCCGGGGCTAATTAGGCCACCCGGGGTAACTTAAGCCACTTACAATAAGTTACAAAGAACGGTCTGTACTAAGGAACAGATTCAGACGTGCAGACATCATTGTGTTCAGCAGGCCAACCCCCAGGCCAGATTTATTCTAGTAGTACAACCAGTTGTAGTTAGATGTCTAATACAATGACAGGTTAGTTTAGTTTAGTTCTAGTAGAGGTTTTACGGCACTCGCAACTGCATAAGGTCATATGAGCGCCAGAAGATTAAAGGTGTTACAAGAGAGTAACAAACATAAAAAAAGAAGATGAGGAGATAAGGACAATAAATGTTTGATAGGAAAGAAGGAGCAAACCACACCAGAGCACCCACCAATGCCAAGGTTGGCTAATTGATTATACCACTCTTTTGTTCACTTTATCTGTGCCCTCAGTTACAATTTTGACCGTACTTGTTGTACATGTATACACATCAGGGATGCCAAATGATTTTGGAAAAAAAACCCCCTGAAAATGAGCGGAGCATCACGTCTCACCTAACACAAACCTTGTAAAGTTTTTCAATGACACACAAAAACATCTCTCTTACCCCTCCCCTTCCCTTTACAAGGGTATGGAGACTTTTGTCTCACCAGTTCCAGTAATATTATATTGTCTTGAGAAGAAAAACTTTTGTCAGTGGACTTCTTCTTCACGGGGATGCCAAATGATTTTTGGAAGAAAAAAACACCCTAAAAAACCCTGAAAAACCCTGAGATTTGGTATCCCTGATACATGTAGGCCTACATGTTTTTCCTCACTTCACTCAGGTGGGAATGGGTACCCGGCCATAGACAGCGAAAGATCTTGTCAGTATGTTGGTAGTGTTTCAGCGCCTATAAATGGCTGCTTGCACTGTATGCTTCCCAGGAAGTTGCTGCTGTTTCAGAAAGCTCTCAGGTCTGCTGGGGTAATAATAGTATACGAGGGGCATACCAAAAGTTTTTTGTTACCTGACCATGAAGGAATAATTTCAATAAAGGTAGAAAGCCGAAATTTGGGATGAAAGCCAACAATTACCTTCCTAGAATGCTTGTAAATTTTGGGGAATTTCAGATCACTGGTTTTACCACCAGCGCACTATAAGTGAATGGGGGTATGTTGTTCTCTAGATTCAACATAAAAATGGAGAAAATTGAGCGTAGTGCAGAAGTGAAGTATTTGTTCTTGTAATGCAAGCAACTACAGGATATTTTTACGGAGATGCATGCCGTAATATGGAACGGATTGCCCATCCAATGCTGGGATAAAATTTTGGTGTAAAAAAGTGATGATGAGGTCAAAGAAGCGGTAGAGGGTTGGTTTTCTGACATAGAGAGGGTCCTCTACTCTCAAGGTCTTTTCAAGGTCATATACAGATGGCAAACATGTATAACTCTGGGAGGGGAAGACATAAAGAAAGACTAAGCTTACTACCAAATTTCAGCTGTGCCACCACTTAACCCTATCCGTACGTCGTGTTTTACTATCGTATCCATACGACGTGGGGAACTCTGTGCCACCACTTAACCCTATCCGTACGTCGTGTTTTACTATCGTATCCATACGATGTGGGGGAACTCTGTGCCACCACTTTCCAAAGAGGAAATTTTACTCGTTAATCCGATCCGTACGCTTTGCATAGCAGTCTGTGAAAATGATTTTTTTGAGAAAATACTGAAAGTTTCACGGAGATCTTCTTACTAGAAGTACATGTATTCTAAAATGTGAAGAATACAACCCTGGGGGTACAAAATGACCCCAGTGTGTACGGAAAGGGTTAACCCAGCATGACACGAACATCAGAGTTCTCCGTCCAGCCCCCCGCCCCCCCTCCCAAACCCCCGTTGTGGGTGTTGGTGGGTGCTCTGGTAGTGTGGCTTGCTCCTTCGTTCCTATCAAACATCCATCGTCCTTATCTCTCCTTCTTCTTTTTTATGTTTGTTTCTCTCTTGTAACACCTCTAATCTTCGGCACTTTTATGACCTCATTGTGCGGCAAGTGCCTTAAAACTCTTATTAAAACTATTTTTTTAAAACCTTGTCGCAGAAAGTTACATTCAAACACAACAACGTAATAATAAAAGTGAGAACAAATTTTAATAATTCACAAAACAATAAAAGTAAGAACAAATGTTAATACTTCACAGAACAAGACCATCAAGGCTAAATCGTAACCAATAAACAATATATGTAACATATGAGGGGGTGAGATGCAAAACACGCCAAGCGACATTTTGGACAAAAGTCAAGATTTTATGCTTTTATATAATAGATAAATAAATAAAATTAAATGTACATTGTTACCGGCTATGATGAGATGCACAAATTGTTTTTTTGCCAAAAGCCAACATATTCTTCATAAAAGCCACCCAAAAAAATCTTCTTTTTACGCATGAGCATTAATTTAAAAAATAAAAAAGCAACTGATTTTCTCAAAAGTGCTAACTGGGTGGTTGGCGGGTGCTCTGGTGTGGTTTGCTCCTTCTTTCCTATCAAACATCTATCTTCTTTAAAATCTCTTCTTCTTTTTTGTGTATGTTACTCTCTTGTAACACCTCTAATCTTCGGCACTTATAAGACGTAATTGTGCTTTAAGTGCCGTAAAACTCTTACTAAAACAAACTGCAAAACCGGATGTAGCGGGTTTTGCACGATCTCAGCCCCTCATATCCACACAGAACCGTTTTATAGAAACAGAACTAACAACAACAAGTTAAGTTACATTTTTCTACAGCACATTTCCACTAGAAAATAGCTCCCTGCTCTTATGTTTGTAGAGGATTTTACGGCGCTCGCAACTGCGTAAGGTCATATTATGAGCGCCAAGGGGTGGATGTCAACAGGGCTCTTCCCCCCCCCCTCTCTCTCTCTCTCTCTCTCTCTCTCTCTCTCTCTCTCTCTCTCTCTCTCTCTCTCTCTCTCTCTCTCTCTCTCTCTCTCTCTCTTTCTTTGTTGCCCTCACTTTCTCTCTCTCTTTGTTGCCCTCACTTTCTCTTTCTCTGCCTCTTTTTTTGTCTTTCTGTTTGTCTCTCCCTCTCTCTCTCTCTCTTCCCCATCACCTAAAGGTAGAGAAACCGTTGGTCCAGGTGCGTGTAATGAACTGTGCGTTGCTCAAATTGCCCAGATTGATGGTCTGCGAGCCGGCCGGTCCCATCACCGTCACCGACTGGGTGGGGCTAGCGGGCTGAGGGGGCGGAGCTAACACAGTAGCCACGCCCCCTGGCTGAGCGGAGAAGGACTGTAAGGCCTGCCCTAGCTGACTGATGTCGATGGTGGTGGGCTGTAGCTGGGCACTCGGATGTATGTGGACCTGTT